TGAGGCAGTTGAGAAAGAGACCCCTAAACCCTAAACCCTAAACCCTAAACCCTAAACCCTAAACCCCAAACCCAAACCCCTAAACCCTAAACCCTAAACCCTAAACCCCTGAAGGGCTGAGGGTTTAGGGTTTAGGGGTTAGGGGTTCAGGGTTTAGGGATTTAGGGATCTAGGGTTTAGGGTTTAGGGGTTAGGGTTTGGGGTTTAGGGTTTAGGGTAAACCCCTGAACCTGCAGCCGCGTTTGGCTCAAATAGGGTGCAAAGATGAAGGAAAGCATTCTGAGACCGGATGACTTCTTTGCAGCGCTTGCGAACCTCCCAGAACCCAGCAAGCCAGAGTGCCTTAGCAGCCGAGCCATTGTATAGGTTTAGGGCTTAGGGCTTTGGGTTTAGGGTTTAGGGTTTTGGGTTTAGGGTGTGGGGTTTAGGGTTTTGGGTTTAGGGCTTAGGGTTTAGGGTTTAGGGTATGTTCCTTAGTATAGGCCCAAGCGCTTAACCTGTAGTTCCGTTAGGAAGCTTCAGCGTAAGGTGCATTGGTACCGTTACCGTTTAGTAGTCGAGTAAGGAGGCTTTGGCCCTTTGTTGATAGCATGCTCATGCCACAAAGTTAACCTGTAGTTCCTTTATACTGTTGATGATAGAAGTCCTGCATCACCTTGAGGACCCTCAACTATGGAAATGATGGTATATTCCTCATGGGTAATGCAGGATTTATGTCATCAACCGTAGGGGTTCCCAAACCCGAAACCCGAAACCCTAAACCCCTGAACCGTAAATCCTAAACCCTAAACCCCTAAATCCCCAAATCCCTAAACCCTAAACTCCTGAATCCCTAAATCCCTAAACCCTAAATCCCTAAACCCTAAACCCCAAAAGAAAGGTGCATTGTAGTTTAGAGGACCACCCTTATAGTATCCTTAAAGTACCCTATAGAAACCCTTGTAGATCCGTTTAAGGAATCCTATGAACGCGTAGGAGACTGAAAAGCAAGGTGCAAAACCCCTAAATCCCGTAAATCCCCAAACCCTAAACCCTAAACCCTAAACCCTAAATCCTAAATCCCTAAATCCCTAAACCCTAAATCCCTAAACCCTAAAACCCGAAACCCTAAATCCCTAAAACCTAAAACCTAAGGTGCATTGGTATGGACAAGCTCCACAGTGTGGCGAGCAATCAGCCCGAGGAGCTTCTAGATGAAGAGCTCTGCAGCCCAGAGCCCTGGTAGGGTTTAGGGTTTAGGGTTTTATAGAAATTGTATAGGGTTTGGGTCCGGGGTTTTGAGCGAAAGTTTTGGGCGAAAGTTTTGACCGACAGTTTTGAGCGGTTGTTGCCTTTTGCTTTTGGGCTGGGCCGGGCTGGGCTGGGCTGGGCTGGCGGCTAGGCTGAGGGCTGGGCTCGGGGCTCTGGCCTGGCTGGGAGGCCGAGGCTCTGGTGGGCTCTGAGCTGGGCTGAGCTGGGCTGGGCTAATGTGCTGGGCTGGGCTGTCAAAACAAGCCCATTTTTCCGGAAAGGCTGCTGCGTAGGGTGGCTGGGCTGTCTGCTGGGCTGCTCCCTGCTGCCCTGCCCTCCTCCTGCCCTCCCTGCCCGGGTAGGGTTTGTTGACTTGCGTCGTGCGTGGGGTGCGTTTTTGACTTCTACTCAATTAGTGCTGCCCTGCTGCTGGTGGGTGCTCCTGCTGCTTGGCGGTGTAGGCAGTACGGCCTAGGGTTTTGGGGGTTTTAGGGTTTAGGGGTTTAGGGGTTTAGGGGTTTAGGGTTTAGGGATTTAGGGTTCAGGGGTGTAGGGTAAGGGTCCCCATAAATTCCATATTAGGGCTTGTAATAAGAGCCTACCAAAAAGTCAGTTTTGGGTGCATCACCTAGGGGTTTATAAAGAGTTTAGGGCTTAAAGGGTTTAGGGTCTAGGGTTTAAAGGGGTTTGGGTTTAAAGGGTTTAAAGGGTTTAAAGGGTTTAAAGGGTTTAAAGGTTTTAAAGGGTTTAAAGGGTTTATGGTTTAGGGTCTAGGGCTTAGGGTTTAAAGGGTTTAGGGTTTAGGGTCTACGGTTTAGGGTTTAGGGTTTAAAGGGTTTAGGGTTTAGAGGTTAAGCGTTAATGGTTTAGGGGTTAAGGGTTTAGCTCTTGGGTCTAGGATTTATGGTTGTGAAGCTAGGGTTTAGGGTTTAGGGGTTCGGGGTTAGGGTTTAAACGGCTTAGGGCGAAGGGTTTAGGGAATCGATAGGCCATTTTTGACCGCATTTTCAGTTTGAGCGTAGGTGAGTTTTGAGAAGGGACAAAACGTTAACAAACCCTAAACCCTAAACCCAAAGCCCTGTTAAAGGGCCTGCCAGAGCAACCCAGGAGTGGGAAGCTGGCGATGCAGTCAAGGAAGAGAAGAAGCCGACGTTCACCCTGCGAACTTACACCCGCTCCACGACAGGCTCGGCGGAGCTGGATGAAATTTCGGATGTCAACTCTGCGGAGCTTGTGGAAGCAGGCAGAAAGTCCTTCAACTCCTACTTATCGTGTAGCACAACTGCGAGCTTGCAGATTGTATTTTTCTCTTAAAGCAAACCCTAAACCCTAAACCCTAAACAGCTTTTCGCTTCTGAGCTGGGCTACTAAGGTAGTCCTGAAGGCGACGATAGCCCCGGCCTTCAACCCAATCGACTTACGCACGACTACCACAATCACCGCATGAGGATCTTCCTAACTGCCGCTTGGAATTGGAGGGTTTAGTTAGGGTTTAGGGTTTAGTTTTAGGGTTTGAAGCTCAAAGCAGTCCTAAGTCATGTTGGAGTTTGCTGTGATTTGGGGGTTTTCGGGTTTCAGGTAGGGGGGCTCTGAATTCGCAAACTTCGGACCATGGGCTACATGGTCAAGGCGACCCGAGACCCCAAACCTTGAGCCGTCTTCAAGCCGAAACCCTAAACCCTAAACCCTAAACCCTAAACCGAGGCAGTGTCGCAGTCTCCAAAGTCTTTGGAAAGGAAAGTGGATCTCTTCCGACGTGCCTTGGTAGGGTTTAGGGTTTAGGGTTTAGGGTTAAACCCCAAACCCTAAGCCCTAAACCCTTAACCCTAAACCCTGAAACTAACCCTAAACCCTTTAACCCTAAACCCCTAAACCCCTAAACCCCTAAACCATAAACCCCTACACCCCAAACCCTAGTCGTAGCAAGTTGCGTGTCCAGAGTTCCGAGTGTTGGGCTGCCGGCTTGAGGAGTCGAGGATGCTCCTGTTGATGGAGGAAATCTTGCATTGCCTTAAGGTGTAGGGTTTAGGGTTTAGGATTTAGGGTTTAGGGTTCAGGGTTTGGGATTTAGGGTTTAGGATTTAGGGTTTAGGCTTTAGGGGTTTAAGACCCCCCCCCAACTCTTAGAATTATGGTATACGCCTTATTACGGGTATACTCCTTACTCCTATTATGCGTAATGCAGGATTATTTATATCATCAACCGTCTCCTAGGTAGTATTAGGGAGACCCCTTAAAGGGGACCCTTCTAAACCCTACTTGTGGCTCTCTTAAAGGGGACCTTATTGAGGGGTCCATATCCCCGAAAAACCCCCTACTCCTAACTCCTCTACCTTAAAGGAACCCTTAAAGGGACCCTTAACCCCAAATCCTTAAAGGGACCCTAAACCCCCTTGGGGTTTAGGGTTTAGGGCTTAGGGGTTTAGTGGTTGAGGGTTTAGGGCTTCGGGGTTGAGGGTTTAGGGCTTAGGGGTTTAGGGTTTAGGGCTTGGGTTTAGGGTTCAGGGGTTTGGCCCCAAAAGCCTTCCATTTCTGTAAATGGGTAGTTCTCTAAATTAGGATTCCTTGTTTGGATCCCCGAAGTAGTACGGCACCCTTATAACAAGGACCCTAAATGGACCCGAACTTAGAGAACTACCCAGATAGAGGGCCTAAACCCTTATATAGTCATCTGAAAGTTAGTATGTGATACATACTGCGCATGGTTCGTGAATTGTCGCGCATATGCGTACTGTTTTGGAAACCCCGAAATCTAGCCTAATTAATTGTGACACCGAAGTATTCGGCTTCTGTATTACCAGGGTTCGGCATCGTAGAGAACCCTACAGCAAACCCTATACAGCCTAGACCCTCAGCCCTAAACCCGCAAGGGTTGACGCAATCTGATGAATTGTCCTAGTTGTTAAAGGGGTATGGGGTTTCGCTTGAAGGGTCGGGGGACGTAGTAACTACTTATTTTATAGATGCATAAGTACCATAGTCCCCAATTAGGATCAGGGTACTTATGAGTCTCTTACTGCCTACTCGCCAAGTCCCCCGACCATCCAAGACGGGCTTTCAGGGTCCAGCGTTTAGAATCTTGCCTTGAGCCTTAACCCTAAACCCTAAACCCCAAAACCTAAACCCCTAAACCCTAAACCCTAACCCCCTAAACCCTAAACCCTAAACTCCTCTGAGGCAAATCAAACGTCACAAACGTCATCTCGCTCTCACGCACTCGATGAACCCTTCCGCAGTGCCCGGTGCCTGGGGAGAGGTTTAGGGCTTACGGTTGTAGGGCTTAGTAATTTTGGGCTCTGAAGCAGGGTTGGGCGTCTGAGGTAGCAATCGGATGCTATCGTAGTCCCTGCGTGGTAAGGCTACGTCAAGCGACTCAAGAACCCTACTGTTGATGATAGAAATCCTGCATTACCTTAAGGACAAACTACGGGAATTACGGTCTGTATTCCTTATTATGGGTAATGCAGGATTTATACCATCATCCGTAGCCCAATCCCAAAACCCTAAACCCTAAACCGCAATGCTTCAGCCCTTTAACCAGGGTTGAGGGGCCCCTAAACCCAACCCTAAACCCTAAACCCTAAACCCTAAACCCTAAACCCTAAACCCTAAACCCTAAACCGTGGTTGAAGGGGGTTACTTGGAGGCTCGCAGGCTCGGTTGCAAGGCTTTCAGGAAGAACTCGGGTCTGAGGTTTTAGGGTTTTTGAAGGGTTTCGGGTTCAAGGGTTTAAGGGT